GGGACCGAGAGAGCAGAAGGAAGGAAACAGCCACGGGGAAAGACCAAATATTTTGAAAGTCTACTTTTTACGGGTTCTTTGAGCCCCCCCCCCCGAGGCAAGGTAATTCCAAGTTCAAGGGGCAGAAACCCAGCAAAACGGAGAGAAATATCAGCTCAGGCATTGTGAAATTCCCCACTCTAATTGTCAGTTCTCGCGAAGGGGAAGAGGAGAGCGTACAGTGGAAATCCAGTCCAAGTATGACTCATATAATGGATGATCCGAGAGGGCGCAGCTGACAGCCCAAGAAATTGGAGGCTGGTCTCCAGAGAGCCTCCCTTGGAAAGGCTTTTTCATGGCTGAATTCCAAAATGGCCTCCCCAAAGGGGGCTTCATTTCCTTTGTCTGCAAAGTGTTCCTACCCAGTGGATGGTTGCGCTAAAACCTGCTGCCTTTTCCATACCTCCCTGTTTTCCAGGAAACGTGTCTAAGGCAACGTGGCGCAATAGACACATTTTTTCTTTTGGCATCATAATTCAACGGATGGGTATGGTAAATCTGTCTATTACTCAGAATAGTCATAATCATAATCTTAGAACTGCAGAGTTAGAAGGGGATCCAATAGATCATCAAGTCCAACCCCTGTGAGGGAGGCCAAGCGGGGGAATCGAACTCCCAACCTTTGGTACCTTATAATGAGGTAACGTTAAGGGTCAGAGATCTCTTTCATCCAGACATAGTTTCACTAGACATGTTCGGGAGTCACATTTCAATGAACCGGTCAGTTAGTTATTTATTTGAGACATTTGTACCCCGCCTTTCTCCGAAGGCAAAAGGGTTGGGACAAATTCGTTTGTTCGTTCATTTTTTCATTCGTTTATTTATTTATTTAAAATACTATTACCCTTTTCGTTTGTTCATTTGTTCATTCATTCATTTATTTATTTAAAATACTATTACCCCGCCTTTCTCCTTAAAAGGGCCTAAGGTGGCTTACAACAGTGAAAAGACAATATTTAAAAGCTAAAAACAGTGAATACACTTTTTTTCCAAGACAATATTTAAAATCTAAAAACAGTGAATACACTTTTTTTTTCAAAGTAAGTGCTATATTATAAACAGCCAATAAACTCAATACTAAAAACACATTTAAAAACAACGGAACACAACAATTAAAACAAACAGACAAACAAACCCTCTTGGGTTGCCAGTCACTGAGGGAGAGCTTGCCTGAAGAGAAAGGTCTTCAGCTGCTTGTGGAAGGACAGCAAAGATGGGGCCAACCTGGCCTCCAGTGGGAGGGAGTTCCAGAGTCTGGGAGCAGCCACAGAGAAGGCCCTGTCCTGTGTCCCGCACATGACAGGGAATGACACTCCCAACCTCATCCAGAGTCCAAACCCCTCACCTACAAGCAGTAAGCAAAGTGTTACATCCCTCTTCGAATCTTCTGTCAACCAAATCAGCCACAGAGAAGGCCCTGTCCTGTGTCACGCAGATGACAGGGAATGACACTCCCAGCCTCAGCCAGAGTCCAAACCCCTCACCTACAAGCGTGAAATAAGCAAAGTGTTACATCCCACTTTGACTCTTCTGTCAACCAAACAACATTCAGCCTTTCTGTTTATTTAGCAAAGTAACAGTTTAACATTGTTGTGGGTTTTTCGGGGTATCTGGCCGTGTTCTGAAGGTTGTTCTTCCTAACCTTTCACCAGTCTCTGTGGCTGGCATCTTCAGAGGACAGCACAGAGTGATAATCACAGAGTGCTGTCCTCTGAAGATGCCGGCCACAGAGACTGGTGAAAGGTTAGGAAGAACAACCTTCAGAACACGGCCAAAAGAGCCCAAAAAACCCACAACAACCACTAACAGTTTAACCATCCCTCCTCAATTGGGCATATGCCTGGAAATAAACAACCAGCACCTTGTTAAAAGTTGGCAATTTACCTCCACCCGTTGTGCAAATTCCCTTGTCCAAGTATAAATTGCTATGAGGATTCTGGCCTTCTGCATTTCAAACACTTGCTTCGCTTTGTGCACACCTTGTTTCTCGGAGAGGCACTATCAGTTTTGAAGGCAGAGGAGTTCTGGAGGCAAGTGACGTTTCTTCTTGCAACGGATCTCAAGAGGTGTTGAAATGCTACCATCGTCTAGATGATCGCGTCCAATGACATTCTTGGCCACCCCGGATCAAAGGCTTTCAAGAATTCTATTTCAGATCCCCAAAATATAACACTTGGTGACATCTATACCAATCCCACAGGCAACTAAACCAGCAAGTTGTCCGTCCAATTATTTTCTTTATGACATTTATACTCCACTTTTCCCCATGAAGCCAGTGTTCAAAGCGGTTTACAAAGTTTGTCAAAGAATAAAAACCAAAGTACGTTAAAAATGAAACTGCTACAATGGCAAAGGAGATAGACTGGGGAAAAAAAACCCAGCCAGGCATGGTGAGAATATTAAAGGCAGTCGAAAAAGACATGTTTTTACTTTCTTCTTAAAATCACAGTGGAAACCACAGAAAGAGCAGCAGACAGTCTCTGCGTGGCACTGCCAAGAATCCTTTGGGTGGGTTTCTTGGGATCACATATTGCAGGCCCTCTGGAGTTGCCTTCTCGGCTTCTCTTCTATCTTCCCTTTCTTGCATTCAGTGGTACCTGAAGAATTTTCAGCATTTTAAGTAGAGCCCCATACGGTCCTTGGTTAGAGTTACGGCTCTACTGTAAATACCGTGAGATGGGCGCGGAGGGTTGATGCATACTTCCCTCTTTCCTCCAAGGGTATTTCTGTCTTTGGCTCTCTCCCTGCCAGATGACTCTCCATTTCACACACACCCCCAGCTCTGACAATTTGCATACTGCGAGGGTATTTGTATAGCACATATGTATTGATTTATTTGCTGCCTTAATCTGTCGCCTTTCTCGTAAAGCGCCCGAGGCCATTTTATGAGCAGAAGGAATTTAAAACACAACCCGTTCCATTCCATCAAATCCCGGCTCCGAAATCAAAGCTGAAACAATTTCATTAAAGCAACAATAAAATGCTCGTTATGGAAAGCTGTGTTTTCTTTGTTCAACAGACATTCTTCTCCAAGGACTGGGGTAACATGTTCAGGAAGTGTTGCTAAGTTAAAATGGTGGACAGCGGTGGAGTCAAATGTAGAGGGTGATCAGAGTGAGATTTGGGTTACACTTTGGACCACCCATGGCCCAGTCTCGACTGGTCCATTTTCTGGAGACCAGACAATGTACAGGAGAGCATGAATCAGCCCAAGCTTGAGCTTTGCCCAATACAGATGTGGAGAATGCAGCCAGTGAGGTCACCCTTTCCAGCACAATCCAATGTGATCCTATATTGCTCTCTGATCGTGCCCTCACAGCACGGTGATTAAACTGCAGTACTGCAGTCAAGACTATGCTCACAACTTGAGTCTGATCCTTTTGGGCTCACGTCGGCGGCTCAAGGTTGACTCAGCCTTCCATTCTTCTGAGGTCAGTAACTCGAGTACTCAGCCCACTAGGGGAAGGGGAGAGCAATGTGTAGTCTGATTAATTAAATTGTAAACCACCCAGAGGGTGGGGCGGAATATAAGCAGCATGCATAGATTATATTTTTATGTGTTTCAATATAGCATCTCTCTCTGTGTGTGTTTAGTTGAATGCTGTCTTCTTAGTAGGGAATTAGAATTGGTGAAACAATAAGGCAGATAAATACTACCATCCATTTGATGTAAGCTTATTACAGGCTTCCTGGTCTTCTAAACCTATTAGAGGCCATGCCATATGTCGAAGGAAGTGGCCTTCTCCACCCTCTTCCTAAATATGCTCTGATCAGCTAAGGACACTCAAGGACATCCCAGGATGAGACGCTCTTTAAGACCATAGGAAAGGAAGAAAAGGAATCAGAATTAATTTTGACTAATAAAGCAGTACGTCTAGCACTGTGTTGTAGTAAGTAAGTGTGATTGTCTTGTGGCAAACGAGAAGGCTGCCCCCTTTGGAAAACCAGGCTCAAGGGAGATTATACAGTCCGGGGCATCATCCTTCAGATGGAGCAGGAGCAAGCTCAGCCTCTAAGAAAGCAATCCGAGATGGGATGATGTTGTGGAGTGATGTGGCCGGTTGCCCACAGCTTCCAAAGACCAAATGCCACAAGCTCTCCTGGAGAAGAGATGGAGTTCTTCAGATTTCTCAGCCCAGGGGATTCTTAATTGTTATATTATTGTTATTAAGACAATCAGATCATTGAAATCAGTTGAGGGATTCACTGCATCAGCTCTAAGCTGGCACAGTGTGAATCTGAGCATTATGTCGACGCGTTGATCTTCTTTCTTCTTCCAGCTGGCTGCAGCAGTAGAAAGGACTGCCTTGTAATGCATGATTATAACTAAAAAATAAACATATTCCCGATGGCTAGAAAAGATGCAGGAAAGGGCAAGTGGAATTATTAACCGTCAGGGACCAGGGGAAGACAACAGTGGGTCAGTCTGTCTAGTTTGAAGAACTGGGAGCTCTCTTTCTGAACAGGAAGCAAGGTGGTGCTAGGCCTAGCTAAATTTCAAAGCCTTCCCATTTAGGCCTTTCTTCCAGGTGAGCCACATTTAAATGTTTATATGTTAGACAGAACTCCCAGAATGGAAAATTATGGCATTTGTAGCTGAGAAAATCCAAAAATCCCATCTCTAAGGGCTGCCAACTTAAACAGCCTTAAGAGTGGACTGAATGAATCCATCAGTAGACCATCAGTAGCTTCTGGACAGGGAGGCTATATCTCACCTCCAAGATTACAGATAATAAGCCTTCATATATACGTTGTTGGAGAATATGAGACAATCATAGTGGCGCTGCTTCTATCTTGGATATACGTTGTTGGAGAATATGAGACAATTATAGTGGCCCTGCTTCTCTTTGGAAGGCCACTTTTAGAACAGAATGTGCATTGGATGGGTCTTTGGTTTGGCCCAGCATGTTTATTCCTGTGATTTTCTGTCAACCCGTGTCCTCTTTTCCATTTTCCCCAAGGCGAAAGCTACGTCTGTTCATCAGACAACTTTTTTAAGAAGGTAGAGTATACCAAGAACGTGAATCCGAACTGGTCGGTCAACGTGAAAACCTCGGCCAACATGAAGGCCCCTCAGTCTTTGGCCAGCAGCAACAGTGCCCAAGCGAGGGAGAACAAAGATTTTGTGCGTCCCAAGCTGGTGACCATCATTCGGAGCGGGGTGAAGCCGAGGAAAGCAGTCCGTGTGCTCCTGAACAAGAAAACGGCACACTCTTTTGAGCAGGTTCTCACCGACATCACAGAAGCCATAAAGCTGGAAACAGGAGTGGTCAAAAAGCTGTACACTCTGGACGGAAAGCAGGTAAGGTTGTTTCATCGGAAACTTTCTTAGCTTCCTGTCTGTGACCAGTGCGGTGCTGGGAACCTCTGCAGTTGGAGAATTCTGTGAAGCTTGCCACATGGTTGAACAATTACATTGTTGGCAGCTTTTGACTGATAATGAAATGGTGGTGAATCCACTGCCGAATTTAATATGAACTTTGCTAGAGCTATCCAAGGTGCTGAACCATTTCTCCATAAATTCAGCACGTTGGATAGCATATCTCCATGGACACAAACCTGGAGTGGTTTCCCTACTCCATCAATATAAGAGCCCTCACCACTGTTGTTCAGAATACAAGTTCCAGAATCCCCCAGCCAGCATGGTCAGGTCAAATGATGCGGACATCACTGACTTTTCTGGTTAGATTACTATTTAATAAATTCACCTTAATATTCCACATTATGGGACTGACTGTTGGTGGAGCTGTGCCTGGCCCCCTCCCTCCCTCCCTCCCTCCCTTCTTTTAAAAGATAATTGAAAACATTGCTTTACAGAGAGGTGTTTTGGTTTTATTTTGGCAACCCTGCCTGTTCTAGCTTCTTTATATGGTTACATAGTACCTGTGCTATTTTTCATTCTATATTTCCACCACTGGGTATTTTAACTGTTATTTGGTCATTTTTATTCACATTCATTGTTTTAGTTGATTGCAAACTGCCCAGAGTAATGCTTTTGCACTAATGGGGTGGTGTACAGATTGAATGAATGAACGAACGAATGAATGAACGAACGAATGAACGAACAAACAAACAAATGAACGAACAAATGAACGAATAAATGTTCTCAAAGGTTAGCTACCTGTATGGCCTTTGCAAGAAACGTTTCTGTGCAAGGCAAAGAATAAGATGGTATGTCTCCTGATCCAGGATTAAAAGTTGATTGATTGGTGGTTGAACCTTTTCCTTCTCCACTGATGATGAAGGAGTAATCTCCACCTTATTTGAGAAAGCAGGTGAGCCGGTCAAGAGGTGTGGCACAGAGCAACCTTGAAATGCTTGTTTGCTCACTTATCTCTCTGTTCTGTCTCCTGAACAAAATAAGCTCATAAACCTCCTTTGGAGTTACAGCCTCTGAGGAGGACAAGCGGTTGGGAGTTCAATTCCCCCACTGTGCTTCCTGTACTACCAAACAAACAGGCAGTGGGGAGCAACAGGTAACCCTCAAGCTTTCAAAATGCAGTGTGACAACATGGGACATTCAATTAGCTAAATGAGCCTTGGACTGCTCGTGGTCAACTCTTTGAAGGCTCATTGTCTTCAGCACAACAGCTGCAAAAAAGTGTTACTTTAACTTTCATTTATTCTTGCGCCCTGAAATACAGACATGCGCCAGCAGAAATATCACGAGACGAGGCACTTTTGCTTTGAAACCAGGTGCACAGGAAGCTGCCCAGCAGCACCAACTGGCATCAAACCAAGTTGCATGCTTTCCAAACCTTGCTTTTACAGAGGAGCGGCCTCCTTTAATTGTTTCTTGACTAGTGCTGTTGCAAAAACATGGCTGAATTTCAGCCGCGAGGCATGGTTCATGGCGGATGGCGGTTCCAGGCCATCAAGTCAATTCCAGCTTATAGTGGCTTTGGGTTTTCAGGGTGTGTGAGTTTTTCAAGGTGTACCCTTGCTAGCCACATGGTTGATCAAGGATTTGAACCATCGTCTCCTGAGTCTTAGTCTGACACCTACTCCGCTGTAGCATATTGAGTCTCCATAGGGTTGAGCATGCAATGTGACACCCCAGTATTTCCTCATACTCCTATTAAACAGTTAAACAGTTGTCCTTCAAGCATTCAAAAGGCCCTGATGTAACACAGACCTATGCTTCCCCACCCCCCACAGAGGTCAGAACGAGTTAGAATGAATGTTACTCCTTAGCAAGTAGGCATAGAAGATGAACTTCTACTCCCCTTTCCACTCTGCATTGCTACAATAATCTCCAGGCTCCTTTTCCTATCTTCCTTAGCCCCTATTTTTTTCTATATCCCTTCCCTGACATTAAAAGCCCCGCCGGCTAAGTGAACGTCTACCGAAGCTTAAAATTAACCTGCCAAAATGGCTGCCATCTGTTCCCTGGAGAAGCCAGGCTACTCATGCCAGTGGCGGTTGTTACTAAATTGTCGCTGCGACGAGGATCAGCTGGGGAATGCAGCCAAGCATCCGGAGAAAACAGATGCCCAGCCACCACTATCCTAAGCACCAGTGAGCTGTGAATATTCTGCAAAGGATCCCTTCCACCACCACCCCCTTCTCCGCACATGAAAAATAAATAATAAATAAAGGCAACGTCTGCTGGAATATTACCTTGGCTTTAGGGCACCGTCTCATCGTAGATGAGAGAAAAGCGCTGAGCTCAGTGGTTTAGAAGTTGAGAGTTCAATTCCCTACTGAGGAATCCTCCTGGGAGGAGAGCCAGCCTGGGTAGCCTTGGGCCAGCTGCACCGTCCTAAAAGCGCACATGAAAAATAAATAATAAATAAAGGCAACGTCTGCTGGAATATTACCTTGGCTTTAGGGCACCGTCTCATCGTAGATGAGAGAAAAGCGCTGAGCTCAGTGGTTTAGAAGTTGAGAGTTCAATTCCCTACTGAGGAATCCTCCTGGGAGGAGAGCCAGCCTGGGTAGCCTTGGGCCAGCTGCACCGTCCTAAAAGCACCCCAGAAGGTAGCCTTGGGCCAGCTGCACCGTCCCAAAAGCACCCCAGAAAAAGGGAATGAGAAACCACTTCTGAGTATACTCTACTTAGAGAAGGGAATGAGAAACCACTTCTGAGTATAACTTAGAAAACCCTTGAATGGGTCACCATAAGCCAGAATTTACTTGAGGACACGCAATTATTATTATCAAAAGCACATCAAAAGATTTTTAGACATTCTCCACCGCGCTGTGCGATAGCTGCTCCCCTTTTTCCACAAGGTCTCACAAAGATGCTAGGTCCAGAGCATTGTGGGAGGTACAACATGGCAGCCAGCATCAACACACTCCAGCTGCCAAACCACTTACTGTGACAGCAAACAATGAATACTCGGACTGTAGCATGGGTCCTTAATTAGATTTAGGGGTCATCTCAGGGCTTTGGAATGAATCCCGAGCTAGTTGGGAGTGATTCGTGCTTCGTCGGATTCAGTTTGTGCCCCAGATTCAAGTCCGCCTGGAAATGGGCAAAGTGGATGCATTGACTTGAGCCGGAACACTAAAAGGGCTGCTACTGTTTTTTTTTTTCCTTTGCTCTTGCTCCTGCATAAATGACACCTGCAATGGGATAAACCCTAAAGAGAGGCGTAAACGGGAGTCAAGCTTTGTGTGGACTGCAGCAGCACACAACCAACACACGCACAGACCGAGACACGGCGCAGCCGGAATGGCACAGAAGGTCACCTTTTTTTTTCCAGCCTCCTCTGCAATGAACAAGGGAAATCATAAACAGCGTTGACACCGCAGGCATCATTATGCAGCCAGTCTGCCTGCAGGGCCGAGGGAGAGACCTGGAGAGGAAGACTCGTCTTTTCCCTGATTCCCTGCCCTTCCATCTGCTCCCTTCTCCTTGCCTCATATCTGGACTCCTTGGCAGGGATGGACGAAGCTCACTGCACTCCTGGCCATCTCCAGACACCAATTCCCCCAACCATATGTCAAGGGCTTCCGAAGCCCAGAAATCCTGTTATGGAGACTTGACCTCACCCATCCTACAAGATGGGAGGAAATGCAAATGGCGAAGGGACCTTCCCAGATCCCCTTTCCTCTTTTCCTTAAAATATGGAGCCAAGATTTATTTATTTATTTATTTTGCTTTGACCTTAGAAAGCTATTTTCTCTTTTCGCTCAGGGAAAGGGGGAATCTTGAGGTGAAGATTTCTGCGTTCGGTTTTCATCACGTAATCCCCGCCTTGTATTCTTGTCCCATCGAAACTCTAGGTCAGGTTGCAAGCTTTTTGGATCTCCTTGGGACACAGGTTAGGACGCGACGCAACACCATTGCTTAGCGCTGCTGCACAGGAAGTTGAAAAGTTATCGCATGGTTCAACCTCCATTGGTGGACGACAAAGCTAGGCTATTCTTCAGGCTTCCAGGGGCCAACCACAATACTTTAGACATCTTTTCTGAAGTTCCCACAAATTAAAACTCTGTTATTTAAAAAAAAAACCAAAAACAGCGCAAACTCACAGTTGACCTTCTCCGGCACTGGTGGGCCTCTCTGGAGTGGAAGATGCTTGCGGTCCAAAATAACTCCGGTTGGTGTGATCTGGACACCGTATTCATTGCACGCGCGGTGCCATGAAGCAACGGAATGCCAAAGCATTCTGGGAAATTTAAATGCCAGTCAGACTGAAAAGCGGGATCAGGTGAAACGTCAGCTGGGTCCAGCTGCTGAGGCCCTTGGCAGCCACTCCAAGGTGCTCAGCGCTAGAACAGGCTCTGACCAAAAGTACTCGAAAAGTCGAAAAGTTTGTGAACTTCTTAACCCGAAAAAACTCTCCCTGAGTTCAGTTTTCCGGGCAGCTCAGCTGTAACCAGGCAGAGCGCAAGGAAACATTTCAATCCCCTTCTTCGTATCGCCAACCTTATCAACTTCGGGCAGACGGCAGGATTACATGTAAATGAAGCATCAAAGGCTAGAATTAAAATATTAACACTGATGAGTATGACTTTGGCTTGCGTGAGAGGGCTTCACCGTGGATTAAAAACATCCCAGCCTCTCTCTTAATGCTTGCTGAAAGTTTAAGGCACCACTTTCACCAAATTTTAATACTGTGTCACTCCTTTCGACGGCACTATGGATTTTCTATTATTTGAGACAGCTGCGATCATTCAGGTTGACACGCTGACAAGAACATGCTGGAATGAAAATGAAGAAAGACCACAAGGGAAGAATCAAATACGCCCATTAACTTAAAGGCCTTATTGTCCGTGTAGGAAATATTTTATTTTAAACTTTTACTGCGATTAATCTGAAATATATTTTCAATAGGTTCCTTCCTGGTCTCC